TCGATTTTTTTTTTCTGCAAATCGAATTCGCATTCCAGGTTGGTTCATTCCGCATAGAAGAAAAGATGAAGATTATTCACGCTTCTTAACAATGTATATACAATTTTCTTTGAATAAACATCATCATCAGTAATCTGTCAGACGACAGGTCCACAGTCTCTTCCAAAACTGTTCCTCCACTTAATGCGATCNCACATTTCGAAACTTTCCAGATGTTTCTGATCTACTGCCCTAAGTGTCCATGTTTCAGCCCCATACAGAGCTATGCTCCAAATGTAGCATTTCACTAGTTTCTTCCTCAAATTTAAGTCCAATTTGCTGGTAAAAAGATTCTTCTTCTTGCTAAATGCAGCTTTTGCCATGGCAGTCCTGGATTTAATTTCACTAGTACAATAAACGTTATACATAAATTTTTTTGAGCATTTTTTTCGTCATGGAACGCATTATCGTATTTTACATTAATTTATATGGGAAAAATTGTTTCGCTTAACGAGTGTTTCGCATTACGAATAAGATTCCGGAACAAATTACCGTATTTACGCATGTATAGGCCGCGTGCGTGTATAGGCCGCAGCACAATTTTCAGACAGAAATTATAGAAAAAATAATTTTCTTGGAATATTATTTCAGGAGTATTACTAATTACTGTATCACTAATTATGAATATAATTTTTTTTAAATGAAGTGTGATTTCGAATATAAGCCGCACCTCAGTTTTCCTCTTGAATTTTTGGCAAAAAATGTGCGGCCTATACATGCTTAAATACGGTATGCTCGTTAAGCTAGGTTTCACTGTATTTGGCTTGGAAGAGGGCTGAAGTGACAGAAGGTTGGAGAAAACTACATGTTTAGGAGCTTCATAACTTGTACTCTTCTCCAAGTGTAATTAGAATGATTAAGTAAAGGAGGATGAGATGGGCAGGGCATGTAGCATGAATGGGTGAGAAGAGGAATGCATATAGGATATTGTTGGGAAAGCCAGAAAAAAAAAGAGACCACTAGGAAGACCAAGGCGTAGGTGAGTGGACAGTATTAAAATGGACCTTAGATAGGATGGGATGGTATGGACTGGATAGATCTGACTCAGGATAGAGACCAGTGGAGGGCTGTTATGAACGCTGTAATAAACCTTTGGGTTCCATAAAATGCTGGAAAGTTCTCGAGAAGCTGCACAATTGGCCGCTTCTGAAGAAGCGCTCAGTTCCATGAGTGAGTGAATGACTAAAAGAAACATTGCCAGGACTCAACTAGACCATTGTTAGCATTAAGTTATATCTTTATTTTTAAAATGAGGCAGTTTTCTTTGTGCTTTATTACTTAAGCAGTAAGCCATGAAGAATGTAGAATGGAGATGTAGCTCCACCATTCTTGACATGAACACAAGTTGGAGTTGAGTAGTCAGCTTCACGCCCCCGTCGCTTTACCGTCGGGAAGAAAACCCCAAGTACCAATCGTATAGGTGGCCGGGTGGGCCCCAGAGCCGGTTTGGACGCTGTGGAGTACAGAAGATTCGCTTGCCCCTGCCTGGAATCGAACCCCGGCCGTCCATCCCGTAACCCGTTGCAGTACCGATCAAGCTCTCCAGGCCTCATATATCTTGATTATGAAGATGAACATTACTTTAGAAACGTACTGTAGTTGTAAATGGTATTCATCAACATGACGTTTTATCCGAGATACGATTTTTTTCAGTCGATTATACTGAATTCAGTATTTAGAATTTAAATAATAGAATTATATATAGTGCAAACGATTCACTTTGTATCTGAGGCGATACATTATATTTCGTGACCTTAATCTAACTAGATTAAAAGTAGATGCTTATGGCTATCCACAACACAGGCAGGGACAGAATCGAAAAGGATGAAGTAATGGCTGAAGTAGGTACATCGCCATGGTTAGGTGACGCTCATTTGGAGTTACTTACCTTAGTCTCCATTGCTGATAGGAAGCTGTGTATTATTACCGGACTCCCCTAACCGCCATCCTTTCTGAACATTGGATATCGCCCGGTGTAGCGAAGTTTTCGGCACGCTGACACTTAACAGTGTTAGAAATAATAGCACTCTAACTGGTGAGATATATTTCGTACTATTCTGTACTTGTTTCAAAAGTCGGTCTTCAGAAGTAGGATATTGCATACTTGGAACGAGGAACGAACCAGTAGACGAGCGGTGTGCATCGGTAGCAGCCTTGGGTATATTTATAGCCCGAAACGAAGTCATTGAGTGAAGAGATGAAGTTTGGAGTGTCAGTTGCGAGTAATGGTGGTAGCAGGAGCGCAGCAAGACACGAAATGCTGAATGCGGAATATCTCGATTTGACTTGCAGAAGTCGTCTGAATGCCGAAATCAAGTGTGTACATTCAACTAAGCAACGGTGGGTTCTTCAGAGGTACTCAGATACCCAGAGTAATTTGTTCACAAACGGTTAATTGTGTTAGATTCATTTTTTTCGGCCGCTGAATGTTATACTAGCACCCCTGGTACATTTCCAAATAGCTAACCTAGTCCTCAGTTTCGTTTACGTATTCAAAAGGCAGTTATCGCAAAAGTGTACGAATATAACTACGATTTTATTGTATAATTTATTAAACGGTAAACGGTTTTCATGTGTCAGAAAGTTATTCGAATTCTACCGAGGTGACACTGCTTTCTAGATGTTAAATTGTACACCCTACTTTGAATTGCATTGTTCAGACATTGTGATATATTTGCCTTAGTATTCATGTAAATTATATGCACGTGTGTGCATGCGTGAGTGAGTAAGAGAGTCACGGTGGAACTCCAACCGATGTCTTGGCTGAAGCGTAGTAGCATGTGTAAAGTTCTTTGACATTTTGGATTTGTCTTTCATCGCAGCTTCCTGGTATTTTCTCATGCATCTCCAATTCAAGTGCTTGGCTTTACAGTGTCTCCTGGAGTTCATAGTATGGGCGGGACGGATGTTTCCGCGATTTAAATCACAGAACTGACAGGAATAGAAAGAGGGGTGGAAGCAGTTTGAATTCGTATTATTGAATTTTATCTTGGTATGCGTCCAAGCTGTAATTATGTCAGTTTACCATCTGTATAATTAATTATGTCTGTAAACAGGACAGTACTGTTAGAATTGGCAGTCCGACTTACGTTCTCTGCTCGTTCAAATTAAGCGAGTAGCTTTTTTTTTTGTTTTGTTTTAGGAATGATTTGACGACACATTCAGTATCGAGGCTGAAGCATTGTGTGGTAGGATGGAAAGCCAGTGATGTATTTGGAAGGATTTGGAAGGATTTGGAATGAAACCGAAGTGTGGCGCCGTCGGCATTTTTGGAGGAACTTAGGAAAATCGCAAAAAACGGGATAGGCGGTGTTCTGGCTGAGATTATAACCGAGCAGTTCATGAATACCAACATGTTCGGTAGCACTGATATTGTGTGAGTTTTTCGTGAAGGTCAACAGTCGTATAGTATGACAAGTGTTTTCTTTTATCATCTGGTCCATAACGTCTAATTGAAAGCAGTTGTGTGAAACGTTCACATATATCATTCTGCATACTTGGGAAATGTGTTTGTTGCCAGTGGCAACGCTGAACTGTGTAACAGAATTGCGCTACGCTTTCGTCCTTTCGCACTTTTTTTATTGCTAGTGGGTTGGGACTAAGTCCTTTGTACTGCGGCCACTTCTGGCCTATTGTACCAGCCCCAGATGATAGGTAAGGGCGGTTGTGGAGCAATTGGTGGAATGAAGATTGGCAGGGGAAACCGAAGTACTCGGAGAAAACCTGCCCCAGCGCCACTTTGTCCACCACAAATCCCACTTGACCGAACCCGGGCCGCCGCGGTGTGAAGCCAGCGACTAACCGCTTGAGCTATGGCGCGGCCACCTTCTGCACGTTAATTACAAACTTCGTGTTTCTTAAAATTGTCCAACATTCTTGTAGATAGTGTTTTTCAATTGTGCAAAATGAACAGAAAACTCTGTATGATACGTCAGTAGCAACATGACAGCCACCAGAAGATTAAAAGCTTTGAATAACAAACACTTAAGCTCCATCCTGTATGATACCAGCTTGTTTGTTCAGCATTGCCAACACCAACAAATTGCCCTAGCATGTGGAAGTTTCATACACTTGTCCTGAAACAAAGAAGTTATACAAATTTTAAAGTGTTGGATGATAAAAGGAACTCCCTGCAACAGAGTCCTTCGTAAGACTTTAATACTTGCATAGGTATGAGGGGTACGCCTCCTCGGCCCTTGCTCCGCGACCTACAGTGGCCTATATTTGCATAGATATTCAAGAAATTTACTCAATTTTATGGAATTCAAAGATTTATTACCTTGTTCACAAGAGTCTGACACTGAAGCACACACTAAACCAGATGAATCTTGGTCCACTTCCTCACACCATGTTTCTTGAAGATTTATGTTATTGCCACATTCCTATCAATGCCTTGGTCTCCAAAGTGGTCTATTTCCTTCCACATACTAACTGTAACTTTGTATGTGGTTTGCAACCCACCCTCATGTCCCACCCATACCATGAGACACCATCATGGCGACAGATCATATTTCACATCCACATATGAGTAGAGCAACAGGTAAAAATCATAATTTTGTATATTTTTTCTATACATTATGGAGACTAGATAAAAGTTCAGAAGGTGTATCCTCAGAAAAATAATGGCATTTGCTAGGGACCCAAATGCAACATATTGATTTTGTAAAAGCCAACATTACTGCTTAGACAGATTTTTGTGTTTTGTTTCAGCAATCAGCGGTGGTCTACCAATCAACAGTTGATTTCATTTCCAAGATAATATAGTTAGGTCAGCTATGTATAATAAAATATGTATATCGTCTTTCCATTCATTTTACTTTTAAGTGTACACAAATGTTAAGATCATGAATATGGCAGCACAATTATATTGTACTAAGTGATTGAACTCTACCATGAAACAAATGTGTTTAATTCCAAATCATAATTTTAAAGAATCATTGGTGTTACTAAATTATTTATAGATTACCTTCGAAAAAACGCACCCTTCCCTCAGTCTGGATATGATGAATTGGATTCGACACTAATTCCTCCACGCCAGGATCATTACAGGATAACACCATCGCCAGGAGGTCCTGTTGATCGGTATGGTAAGTAAATTATTTTCATTTTGGTAAATTGTGGCAGCTTTGTTTTTATGACTCAGGGACAGATTTATTAATGATCTATAAATGTTTATATCCTTAATGCATTCAGTATTTGATTCTGCTTCATTTACATTGTATGGCGAAACGTTGATTTTTCATATTCAGACGTTAGGTTTTTCTTAACTTTATGTAATTTTTCATTGGTCCTGGTGTAAAGCCCATAGGAACAACGTTAAATTTCAATTGACTTTACATTTCTTCCAAATTTACACTTTATTTTTCAAGTCCTGACAAGAGAAATATACTCAGTTTTGAGAAACGATTCTGGCTTCTGGGATATAATGCCATATAGTCTAGGATGAGACCAATTTCAAGCAGGCAGCAAGCAGAGCTGTGTATGCACCCATTTGCGCATTTCCGTATGTATTGAGAGGTTGTATGGGGACAAATATGAGGCACAACTTAAAATGACTTCTATAAAGGGTGAGAGTAGTATTCTTTGCTAATTCTCACGATTGTTTTGAAAAGTTACTTGTAATCTTCAGCATACAGAATTTATGCTCCTTGTTCATGCCAAAATTTCAGAAACAAAAATGACTGATATTGTTAAATTGCTGTGGTATAATGATGAGTGAAAAATAGTCAAATGATGATTAGTACAGTATTTTGTTTGTAGTTTCTCTGTAAAATTGTACAACGTTGAAACATGTCTAGGTGGGTTACATGTTTTGAAAGAATCTTAAAGAACGGTGTCACAGTGTTTGACAGTATACAGTTTTATTAACACTAATAATACAGATCACTTGAAAAGTACACTGGAGGTTACTACAGCTGTGGCTGTGCGGTAGAGCCCTCGTAGAAGCAGTAGTTGCTTTCGGCGGTCCTGCTTGTATGCCGACTGAGATGGCGCTTCTATAGTGGGACCTATATGCTGTCCTGCAGCCGGCGCAGGAAGTACAGTCAGAGCGGCCCCAAATTCTCAGTGGTTCATTTATTTATACATTGCAAATACTTGAAATTACAACAACAAATCATGATCATGAAATTCTAATTAGAAATCACAGGTGTTCTTTTTCACACCTTCTGCTCCAGAATGGATATTTTGTAATGGACACTCATATGCCAGGAACCTGGGTCATTTCGCTGATTATTGAGGCCTTAGTGCATTGGGAATCTCTTTGCTTAGATATCTTTAAGGTTGAATGCAGTAGTTATGGCAAGACCTTCAAAACATACTGTTATGTACTTTTGTAGAGAGTCTAGTTCCACAGTGAGTTCGTGGAGGGGGAGGGGTACAACGTTGGTATTGTAGTGCACTCTATTTGATTGTAGTCTACATGTGGAAAATGTATGTCTCCCACACATTTCCAACATACCAGGACATGACCCCAAATGTTTTTATATCATGCTGTATGGGCAAGTGTTCATAAAATTGGTGTATTAATAATAAGGAGCATGAAAGGGAAAGTAAAGTATATTGTAGCCAATTACAATTTTATACCAGAATTACAGGATGTTACTGTATTTTCTCTTTTCCATATTTTTTAACAAAAGAAAATATATATTATTTCTTTCTTTTGTATTGAAATCTGAGTGTCTTGCATATTGTCTTTTTGATGTCTGTTACAGTTACACTATATTACGTGATTGATGTACTGATGGTTGTTTATTTTGCAATTTTAATAGATCAAGTTACACATCCCTGGAGCATAGATGACTCAGGGGAACCTTCACAACTGTCACATGGTAAGTTATTTATTCTGTGGTTGTGAATTTGTGCAGACCTTTTGATTTATAAGTTTAGTTTAGTTGATTATTGGAGGTAGAAGTGCTACACCAATTTTGCATGGCATATTTACTAGTCAGTATAGTCCTGCTTCTGTTATATAGTTGAATGTTGAGAACAGTGCTTAGGTGGATACATACACAGTGTGGAAATTAAGTTCAAGAACTGAGGCTACAATGGTCTACACAACAAAGATAAAAAATATTTACTAATATCATCACTCAGTATCATCCCCACCCGCTTTTGTACAATGTTTACAATGCTCATACAATGAATGGAATGCTCGAGAAAATGCTTCTTCCTGTATAATCTCCAGTTCTCTCGACACAGTCTGTTGGATGGTTGAAACAGCCTCGAATCTTATCCCTTTCATCGCAGTTTTTAATTTAGGGGAAAGAAGGCATCCCATGCTCAGTCAGGGGAGTAAGGTGGATGGGATAACATGGGGATCCCTCATTTCGCCAAAAACTTGGAGACAACGCCTGAAGAATGTGCCAGTGCGTTGTGCAGAAGGTACCAGGAGCCACTTTCCTGAAACTCTGGCCTACTGCGATGGACTTGACCGATCAGTCTCTTAATCACATCTTCATAAAATTTACCATTTATAGTCTGTTTTCCCCGCATAAATTCATGATGAATGATATCTTTAGCATAAAAAAATGCAGTCAACATTGTTTTGACTCGCGATTTTTGCATTCTCACTTTCTGAGGTTTCGGTTTCTTTGGACTCAACCAAGTTGCACTGTGATGTCTTGTTTCTGGATCGTTCATGATACACCAACTTTCATCACCCGTTACAATCCTTTTTAAAACATTTCTATTGTCATCAATCATTCCAACAAATTCAACAGACGATGTTTTTGATCCGGCGGTAACAAATGACGAACAAAACGAGCACACACTATTCTTTTTGTAATCTGCGACTATATCTTACATACCATCTCTCCATCGATCCCGATCATTTCTTGTAACATCTGAACACTAGAGTTCGATCTTCGGCCAAACACTTTTGAATGACTTCTGTTGATTCTTCTGTTCTGGAAGTTTGATGGATGTCCTGTATGTTCATCGTCTTGTAACTACTCTCGCCCTTCTGTGAACCTTTTATGCCATTCAGACACACTTGTTCTCGATAAATATTCTTCACTGTATGCACTTTTCAACATTTGAAACGTTTCAGTAGGGTTTTTTTTTTGTAATGCTCTTCGTTCCATTTTGAAACCTTCAACACAACAAAAAAATTAACTTCACCAAAACAATTGTAATCCTCATATGCATCAACCAACAAGTTGAAACTTTCACGTCATAGAAATAAACATTCTCTCTAACTAGTCCTGGTCTTCCGCGATAGATGTTGTTAGTAGTATTGCTGTATTAGCGTCAGTTCAGGAACTTAATTGTCACATTATGTAGATAACAGTATGCCTTTGCATGCTTTATTTGCTTTGTTTCTTGATTGTAGGAGAGGACCCCAAACTAATGTATGGGTATGCTCCCCCTTCTTCATATGGCACTGTTCCGGCTGCGTATGGTAGCAATGGTGCAGACCCCCGAACATATGAAGAAAATGGTCCACCTCCAAGAGCTATCTTTGAGGATGAGGAGGAACTGCGTAAACATCTTTCGATGCATCCTTCCATTCCTTCTCCTTCAGTTGATGATGAACAAAGGGGTTGGTTTTAATTTTTGGGTCTGATTTTGGCTTTGTATTCATCATTGTTTTGCATCACAAATATTCTTATGTCTTCCCTGCCCCAGTCTTTTAATTATCAGTCTGGATACAGTTGCAGTGTTGTTAAATTGTTTAATTAACTTTCCAGTTTTTTGCCATTATGCATTCTTACGTATGTAACAAACAAGTTATTGGCTCTGATTTCATAGGGCTGACTCTAACAGTGCCAGAGTCAGTCTGGTTCATATAACTGACTAGTGCCACTGCCACCACAGTTTCCACCATTTGTTAATCATATGTGCTTTGAGTACATTATTATTCTGTGCATCAGGGAAACAAACACTGTCAAAGTGTATCTGCAAAAACACAAGATCAATGTTATGTAATATTCATTTGGTTCATTAGAACAAATGTGACACCCATCTTTCAGATACTTTTAATTTCAGCATTCTGACGTTTATTTGGTGTTAGTTAATGTGTGTTCCAGCACTTGCAAGGAGATCCACAAATTCTGAACTTATGGTATGGAATTTAAAAACAGTAATACTCATTGTCAGAACTGTATTTTTGTGGACTTCATATTAATATTAAAAATTATTATTTCTTTAAAATAAATAAGGAAATAAGTATGTGTCAGAGCACTTAAATTAAAGAAATGTTTGACAAAAAAAGAATTTGTCAGCTCATACAAAATTTTGGTTAGGAAGCCTTAAGAGAAGAGGCTACCTGAGGGACTTAACAGACTGTTAGCAACATGAATATGATGTAAATATTTTGTGAAAAGTGAGAACTGGACTGAGCTGGCTTAGAATATGGTTCAGTGTTAACTTTTTATGAAATGTTAGTGTACCTTTGGATGCATTAAAAGTAGGGAGTTTCACCACTGGCTAAATAACTATTAACCTGTAAAGGAAAGTCATGCACTGTGAAGTTATTTTAGTTTTAATTCATACTGAGCTTCATTTGCATAACTTACTGTTATATCTGGAATAACAGAACTATTTTAAGATGCCAAATAATGCAGATTTTTCTTGGAAACAGTTACTGTTATCTCTGTCAATTTAAATGACATAGAAACTGAGAGATTCGTGTGACATCTGGTAAATGTGTGAAAATCCAATTCACTGCGTAATCTCTTGAGTACTGAAATTATTACATGTTATAACAGAAACTAATTCACTCCCTGAAAATGCAGTTTTGGTTCAAGAAGGTATTATGTGTCAAGTAACACCCCTTTTCCATTGTATGCCATACTACAATATGGCAGTAGATCTATTTCGGATTATCTTTCATTAACCAGAACAATTTAGGTTTGTTCTTTTATTTGTTATTATATGTAGTATAAAAAAAGTATTATGTCTGTGGAAACAGTTGATCTCAGTATTTCAGTGGATTCACACATTTTCGGATCCCCTGAAAACAAAAAATAGTTTCTTGGAGTTCCATTCGTCTATATGTATGTGTATCTTGTTAGTGCCTGAACAGTTAGGTTCTATGCATTTTCGATGTAGTGTTTGTCTCATTAATGTTCCAGCTCCAAAAATAAGGGCCCTTCATATATGTCCCCAAGAACAAAATGTTGGTTTCCTTGAAAGTAGCTCTGACAGTTCTGAGTAAATTTCAATGATTTTTGAAGGCCATCTTCCACAGTAAAACTGCATATGTGTGTCATCAGATAACTGCACACACACTAGGGGATGGTTTGACCAGTTCTTATTAAATTTTAATTGTTATAGAGGGAATGAATCCATGGTATTTTCTGAGGAATGGCTCAGGTGATTCTAATTAAATGTTGTAAATTTATGATACTGACAGTCTTAAATAAAACTATGTGGTTCATATTTACAGTAAAACAACATTCTGCTGTCTAAGGGTAGTACGAGCTGTTATCAAGGACTATAAGATCATTTATATTTGAAATATATAACTTTCCTGAAATATTTATTTCAGGATAATACAGGGTGTTGATCTGTCAAGTGTGTATGAGAAAGTATGTGCAGTATCTTTGCATTGATTGTTTCGTACATGATGTAACTTGGGTAATAATTAAAAAAGTCTTCAGAAACTTATCTGACATACTGAAATGATCAGAAATCATTAAAACAAAATTACTAGTCAGAATTTTCTTATGTGGTGTCAAAAAATCGTAGTATATGATATTTAAATTATAATTCCATTTTCTTTATATCTTTATATGTTTCCTCTGTGTTTGTATTCATTTGACCAATTATGGCTTGCGACACAATGTACGTGACGTACATATTCAGATTCTTACAAGTTATGGTAGTTCTGTTTGTGTGAGATGTTGATATTTGGAAGCACTTTTATGCATAACGATACTGTGCACTTAAAAGGGGAAGCACAGTAGATCATTGAAGGTCACATAATGGCCCACGTCATTAATTCATGCTGTGCACTTCAGTACTGGACAAAGAATGACAGATTTGAATTTTTTGGAAATTGTTGTAAAGAATGTTTGCCCAAAGACTCTGCATTAACTTTAATCTGTTTTTCCAAATCAGAGTTATTTTGTTCATTTAACGTTGTTGTATGGGAGAATTTATGAATTCACTTTTATTGACTAAGGAGCTTGTATGTTTTAGGAATGCGGTGGCGTGACCCAAATCTCACAGAAGTTATTGGCTTTCTGGATAATCCAAATAATGTAATAAAAGCAAATGCTGCAGCATACTTGCAACACTTGTGTTACATGGATGATCCCAACAAACAGAAGACTAGATCCCTGGGCGGAATTCCCCCTCTGGTGATGTTACTAAGTCATGAAAGTCCAGATGTCTATCGAAATGCATGTGGAGCTTTGAGGTACATATTCTCTCTCTTTCTCTGCATGCATATGATTTATCATTGTCATTATGCAGTGCTGGGTTACCATAACAGTGAACTATCAAGTGTTAACACATTATTTGAATATAAGTTATGTAATAGGTCATAAATGAGCAAGCAGTCTTTTGTTTCAGTGTATCATGTCTGCTCTGTGAATATTGATAATATTGTCACCTGTTGGGTGTATAATGCGACAGATAACTTCATGCCGTGCTTGATATAGCGAATTTTATTTCACATTCGCTCTTACAATCACACAATTTACAGATCCACAATTACTGCTATCTGCAGTATCACAAATACTACACTGCAAATGCTGGTTGACTGCCTGACTGACTCTTAACTCGTAACTCGAGAACTTGAGAACTGTTGATCACACACTGGCTCATAGGCTTGCTTGGAACTCTACGCTGGCTAGATTGAGAACTGTCTTGAATAGTCTTCGCTGCTCCTTACTTAGCCCTGTTCCGGACAACACAGAAAACAGCCACGTAATAGCTACCACTCTTATTACCGTCGTCTCTCGGAACCACTGCTGTCTGCCGCCGTGATAGCCGATAGCTTAGCAACACTGTTGGGAGTTGTTTACTGTTACTTAGGAACTGCGGCGTCTCGTGTTATGTCACCTCTGTTGACTGGCAATGCATAGCGACCAGTATGCTGAGACTTGGCTAACTTCGGCTCTGCTCGGTGCGTCACGGCTGGCGGGAGGGGGGTCATCCATCGCTCAACACGTCACAATATTTTGATGTGGATTTGTGAAATGTAGTATACTGTATATAAAGGGGATGGTTAATTATGTACTATTTGTTCATGTTATTCATGGTAGATGATGTTAATTGTTGACCTTGATGAATCATTCAGGAACAGGTAGGACTGAAAAAGAATGTGGGGAAAGCAAGGGAAGTTAATACTATAAAAGCTTACTTAATGAATGATAAGACTAATCATTGGAGTCTCTTAACAGGTGTTACACTATCTATATAAATAAAAAATGTAAATGTTTGTGTGTTCAGGATCTTAAATCTCCGAAAGTTCTTCACCGATTGCTTCGAAATTTTGACACAACATTGCATCCGAATGCGCGCGTGTTTTTATATACCTATTATATAGATGTCACACATGTGACAGGTAAAAACATGCTTCTTTTGAAAAACAGAATTGGAATTTGGAATTCAGAAGAGTCACCCCTATGGAAACGCTAGAACAGACCGTTGCGTAGGAAGTAACAATAGCAATACTGTATCGAATCTCCACGGTTACGATGAATACATGAAGCGTTCCCACAGAGACAACACAGTAACAATGGGTCGCTGCGTAGGAATCGTGGAATCAACAAAGCAGCGTTTTCGCGGTTATGACAAAGGCTCATTTGCATAGCAGCGGCCGAGGGTATAAAAGGGGGTTGAATTCATTCGCCCAGTCAGTCTTCGAATAGCTGCCACTGAAGAAGGTTGGAACCTAGACGCCAAGAGATACAGAAGTATTGGCCGAGAGACTGTGTAACCAGTAACTCTAATACTGCAAGTGGCGATAATTGTAAAGTGTGCAAGTGAATTACAGTAATGATTCGCTATAATTAATACAGCATAAAGTTATTTGTAGCGTGACATACCCAGACACGCTACATGCATTACTGACGCGTGCAACACGTCACATCCACATCAAATTCGTGCATTGTTTGCAATCATATTGACCGCCTGCTCTCCTTCATCTCCAACAGAGTTATGGGAGAAATATAAATCACACATGGCTGAAGATATTTTCTGTCGAATACGCAAGGAAAATTCCAATATGAACATGGATTTCACAGCAGAAATCTGCAAAGAAAGGTGATAAGGATTGAAGATTTGTGCTTAGAAATCATGAACAAAGTTCTCAATCAATTGGGAATGCCATCAGCAAATCGATCTGCTGCTGCTTCATTCAATGTAGAATTGCGTCGTGAACAAAATTACAACACGGGTGATCTTTTGTTGTATGTGCAATCAAATATTCCTAAGCTAACGCTTGAGCAAAAAGGCATTTACGATCAAATAATGCAAACTGTCAATAACGGGGTTGCAGAATTCTTCTTCTTAGATGCGCCGGGAGGAACTGATAAAACGTTCCTAATTAGATTGATTCTGGCAGCAATTCGATCCCAAAATGATATAGCCTTAGCTCTTGCGTCGTCCGGAATAGCTGCGACATTGCAACTGGTGGAAGAACTGCTCATTTCGCTTTGAAATTGCCATTGAACATGCAATTCATTGAAACTCCCACATGCAACATTTCCAAAGGATCAGGCATGGGAAGGGTATTGCAGAAATGCAAACTTATCGTTTGGGATGAATGCACAATGGCGCCAAAAAAATCGCTCGAGGCTCTTCATCGATCATTGCAAGATTTGCGTGGAAACATCAGACCATTTGGGAACGCATTAATATTGCTTGCAGGAGATTTCAGGCAAACATTACCTGTAATTCCTCGATCGACACCAGTGGACGAAATAAATGCTTGCCTGAAATACTCTACTTTGTGGCGACACATAAAGACGTTAAAATTAACTACAAATATGCATGTCCAGCTGCAAAACGATCGATCAGCTGAGATATTCTCACATCAATTGCTGGAAATTGGGAATGGAAAGGTGCCGGTTGAACTGACCTCAGGACGAATTTCATTGCCTCATAACTTCTGCAATTTAGTGACGTCAAAAGAAGAATTGGTTGAAAAAGCATTTCCCAATATTCAAACCAATTATAAGAATCACGATTGGCTGAGTGAATGTGCTATTCTTGCGGCCAAGAACAAAGACGTCTACGAACTTAACAGTATCATTCAGTCTAACATTCACTGCGAGGCAGTCACATACAAGTCCGTCGACACTGTTGTGGAAGCAGATGAAGCGGTTAATTATCCAACAAAATTTTTGAATTCACTCGATCTGCCACAGCAACGCGTGGCCGGGTACAGCTAGTTTTCTTATAAATGTTAATTACTTCAACTCTTTCAATACTTAATGTGTGTGTTTGACAGTAAGGATGTCTTTGCACATTCACGATTTCTAGGGGTAATGCTCTAGACTCGTATTTGGGTGATTATCTTCGGGTTTTCATGATTTCCATTCCCTTGAGACAGTGGCTGCGATAGTACCTGTATAAAGCAACAACCACATCCTTTGTCTTTTACATACCAGACGATGGGTGAAGTCCAAAATAAGCCAAAAGAAGTACAGTATACCCATCGTCAGAATCCTTTCAAGTCTAACCACATCCTTGTAAACCCTTCCTGTTTCATTTTCATCTGTCATCCTCCCATTTGGTACATTGTGTTTTAGATACAATCGGTATTGTGAAATAACCCCGCTAAAGTACCCCCTCCTTTTAATAGTGATTTTTAGCCATCCCACTAGCCACTGGAGTTCTGCTAGCCCTTTAGATCTGTTTTAGACAAGAAAGTATGCATAAATGAGAATTACTGAGAAACAAGTGTACATGCAGAAGTCTGGCCTTAAACTGAAGAAAGGCTGTGCACCATCAGGCAAAGTGGCCAGGTGGGAAACTACTCAGTCATTGCCACCAATATGCTTGTTTAAAAATAGCCACATTTCTGGATGTTGAAGAAGAGGCCCTGTGTTTGTACTACCGAGTCTTGTGAAGGTCCAGTCTCCTGACTGTTACACTAAGCCTGCTAGCCAGAACCTTAGCCACCGCCTCCCAAGAATGTGAAGTCTAGATTGGCGGGTAATGTGACAAATATTATGAACATAGACCTGAATTTCTTAAGTAATAAAGTAGATCTCACTGCCATCTTAGGTGCTCAGAAGGTCTGCTTTCTAATCTTAAACGAACTTCAGGTCTCTTGAAAAGATGGACGTTAGTTTCATTTCACTGACATCAGTAGATGCAGTTGTTCCATAGATTCTGTGCTTAAGTTCATCCCATTTGGGGATTATTTGAATACACTTTGTTTCATGTAGGTTACTCCACAGATAGAAATCACAGGGATTTAACTCTGGGAATATTGCAGGCAAAATTCTGTGACTTACTGGTCTGTCTTCAGATACTTCGTTTAAAAGCATCAGTGACATAATTAGTAATTGGTACTGTAGCATCATCCTGCATAAAATAGCTATGTCTTTTCTTCTGTAATGCCCCCAGAAATATTCCAAGGAATGTTGCTGGCATACCACTTTGAATTAATAGTCTGTTAAAAATTTTCTTTTTACCAAAATTTGTCATATGGAAGACAAAATGATGAAAACAAGCGGGCTATAAAAAATGCTGGTGGCATTCCGTCTCTTATAAACCTATTACGGAAATCTTCTGATGGTGAAGTAAAGGAGCTTGTAACAGGAGTCTTATGGAATTTGTCATCATGTGAGGTATATCATTTGCTTCAGAAATTGCAGTAATTTTTATAATTTAATTTTAAAGTGATTTAAGTATTGGAATATAGAGAAATCCAGGGAATATTTAGACTTAACTATATTTAATTTTAGATGATTGGCAGAATGACAGCCTGGCACTGGGTTCAATATGTAGGTGCCTTTCTACAAATTTACAGTATACCAATATAGAAACAGTGTTTTTTTTTTCCGCTTATTATGGGGTGGAGTCTAGCTGGTCCACTCGGCACAGCGGCCACTGATTGGCCTAATGTACCTGCCCTGGGTGATTATGATGATGGAGAATTTGGTGGAATGAAGATTGGCAGGAGAAACCGAAGTACTCCGAGAAAACCTGCCCCAGTGCCACATTTTTCCACCACAGATCCTACTTGACCAGACCCGGGATCGAGCCCAGGCTGCTGTTGTGGGAAGCCAGTGACTAACTGCTTGAGCTATGGCATGGCCTTGTGGCTTGGCTTCAATTTGATTTTGATTATTTTGTTGTTACATACCACCCACATAGGAAATATTAGAACCAATAGAAGTCTGTTGTGTTTATGTGAGGTTTCAGTGTAATTGGTCCAGTGCTTATTTTAAGAATGAAGGTAATTGAATGTTATAAATTGTTGGAATAAATAATGTCTTATGCACACTTGTCTTTATTATCTGCTTTATTTTCTGTACAGGATCTAAAGAAGTCAATAATTGATGATGGACTCTCAGTTGTTGTAAACAATATTATCATTCCACATTCTGGTTGGGACCCAACGTCCCCTGGGGAGACATGTTGGTCCACAATATTCAGGAATGCATCTGGTGTTTTAAGGTAAGCTGATAAAATGTGAAACATATTTTTTTTACCTCAAGTTTTGACCCTCTCATTGTTACATGAAATAGTGAGTTTGATGGAAAATTTTAAAATGAAATATAAGCAGATATACCACATGTAAACATTTTGTACTACATTTGGAACCAAATACACTGTGATATAATATGTTTCTTTAATTATTTGAGATTTCAACACAAAAAAGGATGGCTTTTATCCATATTTCTCTGCTGACAGGAGTCCAGACACTTATTCATATTGGCCATCTGTTTTGTCATCTGCAACAGTGATATCAGCAAATTATGTATGATGTCATGTGCAGACAGTGATACACTAGAATTCCATTCAAAGATTTTTTGATCAAATATTATCCCATATTTTTCATGAATCTGTTGTGGGCTTGGCCAGAGCTGTTTATAAATGTAGTCACCTATTAGTGACTAGATGGAAGGTTTTGAGAGGTAGTTCGATTTATTGAACGTTTATGACTTCTAACTACAAATAAATGTAACTCTTACTAATCTACACACACAATCAATCACTGAAGCACAAGGCAGTCAAACAAAAACCATGACAAGTGTCACAACACTTACACTTTTATTTAATTTTGATTATTTACATTGTTAGTAACACACATGATGGCTATACACAGTTCCTTTGTTCCTCTTTCGAGGAGAGACACACGCGTCTTTGACAGTTCAGAAGCTATGCGTTGTCTGTCTTTGAACAAAGAATTGCGTTATCATGCTACTGTCGCTAGGCATGACATCATCCAGTAACTGGCATTTTTGATTGGCTATACTCCAGGAAGTACCGGGCTAACTGCTGTATGAAGCTTGCATCACTGCCTCACTGGACAAATGAAAAGTTCCCGAATTATCAGCTCCATAAGGAGTATCCGCCATTACATCATCCTTCATCTAATGTATAGCCTATAGCATAATGCAGCGCATGATGATTTACGCAATCTTACAAATCCACAATTTAAGTTTTGCGAAGTATATTATTAAAAAAGAGTAATTGGTTACATGTTGTTGTGAGGTAACCCCTACTGACAGTGGAGATTTTTCTGCTTCCCATGTTCACATCTAACCTACTATGTGTGTTGACTCTTGGCGCATGATTGCCTAGCTTGGTATGGTCTGGTCTGGTAATTTGCTGCTGGCCTTTGCCTGCACAATTATTCTTGGTTTTGGGACCTGTGGGACCCATGATTTTACATTTCTGTCTCATGAGTACAGTCATTATTGGTTCCAAGTCTCACAGGACACATGATCATATTTTTCTGTCTCATCACCCTGACTGAGTTATAAGACTGACTTGTTTGTCCTGGTCATCATTATATAGCCTTGGCATGGTCTGCATAGAAAATACCTCTTCCAGTGAGTCTTCTGTTGTTGCACGTGTATTTGTTAGGGAAATGTGTTAACTGAGCCATTACCTAGCTCGTTGATGTCTCCTCTGGCTCCAGTATTCTGGCTTTCAGGCATCATGTCACAGTTGTCATGTGTTAGGGCCTGGGCACAGGGTTTGGTTAAATAACTGGGCTTAATGCTTACGGCCCATAATTATAGCACTCTCACTAACCTGTAAGACTTCTCAGCTGTTGTTTGGTAGCAGCTTCTACCAGTGAAGATTCCTCAACTTTCATGCCCACAGATAACCACCAACTATGTGTTGCCAACTCCCCATTCATGACTGACTCACCTGGTCTGGTTATTTGCTGCCAGTCTTCGCCAGCACAGTCGGTTTTGGTTTTGGTCCCTGTGGGACACATGATCATATTTTTGTCTCTCTCACAACTCGTGTCTTGCTTGTCCTGTTGGTCTTCACTATATAGCCTCAGCATGGACTGCATAGAGAGCACAGCTTCCAATGGTTCTTCTGTTGTTTTGTGAATATACTTTGCCATAGGAGTGTGTACCAAGCCATTGTGTAGTAGTGGACATCTCTGGCTCCACTATTCTTGTTTTCAAGCATCATGGCACGTTGCTCCCACTTGAAGGCTGCTTGTCCCAAGTAGCCTACAGCCATACTGCCATTTCTCTCTGAGGTGGTATGTCTGTGATGTCTATGATCACCTTTGCGGATAACATCATGTCCTTATACCAGTCTTGACACTTCTTCCTCTGGTTTCAATTTAGTCAGATCTGCAGTATTTAGGGAATAGGTCTTGCGCTGCTGTTCTCTAGCTGCTCCTGCCTTAAGGCTACTTGTCTTGAGCAGTTCTCAGGTAAGGTAGCCAGTCCAGGTATACTACCATCATCTCCATTCCAGGGTGTTGCTGAATTCTGTACACCACATAGTTGATTCTGGTGACAACCTCTTTTGGGCCATCCCACAATGGTCAAAGTTTGGATGACTTTTTCTTTAGTGTGGTTTGGGCAATGCAGTCACACTTGATTACCCTTCTAGTAATCTGTGGAAATGGCCAGGCAGTTGTAGCGTGCTTTCTCTCACTGGCCAACTTCAAATATTGACAGAAGTAATTGTGGATGTCATGTAACCGATCCACAAGGCCTGCTGCATGGTGAGTGGTGGTTCATTTCTTATCAGGAGGAGCCCCAGAAGTAGGCCACAGGGCAGGTAGAGTTCTCTCTAATACACTGTGTTAGCTGGGGTTAAGCTCATAGTGTCATGAGTGGATGCTCTGTAGGCAAGGAGGAAGATGGGCAGTCTCATGTCACAGTCTCTCTGGTGTGATACAGTGACTTTTCACATTTGTTGTTGTAGCACTTTACTATCATGAAAGCGAACGGTACTGCAAAAATGGTAATAGAATTTTGTGCTCTTTTTAGGAATGTTAGTTCTGCAGGGGAATATGCAAGAAAAAAGTTAAGAGAATGTGAAGGCTTAGTAGATTCATTACTCTATGTTGTGAAGTCAGCGATAGAAAAATCCAACATCGGCAACAAGAGTGTAGAGAACTGTGTTTGTGTTCTGCGTAACTTATCCTATAGATGCCAAGAAGTAGAGGATCCAAACTATGACAAACACCCTCTTCCAGCACAAAGCAGAGTTGGAGCACAGCCTAAAGGTATGAGATATTTCTTTTGTGCATGGTACGTTGACTGCAGGTGTACAGCATTTGTTAGTAATTTGACTCAAGTAGTGTAACTCTTAAATGTATATACCAGATCCATTGAAACTTATCTCCAATAAAAAAATCAATCAGGGATTGAATCTGCTTTTGTCTCTAATTTAAATTCTAGTGACTGAGTTTTCATTTCTTTTTCACTCTCATCATGTGAATGATATGCCAGTACATTGAAATACACTTATTCAGCTCATTCCAATTCACCATCAGTGATCAACTTGACCTCTCATTTTAAGTCTGTAATGTGTACAGGATCATTTATAACCTATCAGTTACTAATGAACAAGATTGAATGTAATTGCTTTGGGTCTATTGTGAATGTACTTTTATCTCTTTTAGATTGATTATGAACATAAGTATATGATTTGTTCATGGCTTTCCTCTAATGACAGGATTTTATTTTCAACCTGTATGCTTCAGACTTAACATTTGTAAAAAGGGATGGCAAAAGACAGATATTGTTAATTGCTTGACCTTTGTTCATGGATTGTTTCTCTGGTGGGAAAATAAAATTCAGCAGAATATTTGTAACTGTGAAAAAAATAGGGTTACTGTATATTTTAGAGAAAATCAATGCTTCAGGATTATATACAAGGAGATCATTTTAAGGTGAAAAATAAGTGTTCTTTGTCATTGGTAACTGATTGGGTAAATACGTACACATACTCTGGTCAAATTGTACAGATCAGTTTGCTTTGGTAGAGTGCATTCATTTTCATTCATCAGATGACTTCTTTATAACAACTGGTATTTGATGCTGTGTAATCCAAGGTATTCTCATTGTTGTTAGAAACCATATACATATGAAATATTGTGCAAAATGTCCTTTTTGAATGGGATCGAAGGCTAACTAACTAACTAACTAACTAACTAACTAACTAACTTCATGGAGCTGAGCCCTTCTTGAGGAGCTACCAGTTGTGCAGCTATATAAGAACTCCCCAGCATTTTGTGGAACCAGCAAGTTTCGCTACCATGTTCACAAGAGCTCTCCACTGTTCCCTATCCTGAGCCAGATCAATCCAGCCCATACCACCCTAGCCTATCTCTAAGATTCATTTTAATATGATCCACCCATCTATGTCTTGTTAGATCAGAGGCTAGAGGTGGATAAATTATTCATATAAACTTACATTAATGAAGTCAGATTTGAGATTCTCATGACACTGAGTGTGAAGAGTAACTTCTGGAAAGTGGCATCATGTAGTATGGTAGAAGTTTACCAATATTTTGTTGGCGTTTACTGCCTCCATTTCCAGAGGGAATTGTATACTGAGCAAACAAGCAGCAGAGGACTGCTTTTAATTTCATGCATCCTGTTGTGTTATAATATACAACTTCTTTATTACAACTGTCACAACACAACAAATATCAAGATCAGTGCCTAGTTTTGGCTGTGCTACATGTTTCGGCTATTAATAGCCATCATCAGGCAAATTCATGGTTAACATATATACACCACTTAACCACAGTACTAGTAAAATTGGATACAATATTATTAATTATATAAAATACTTGATGTAAAAATACAATATTCAGTTCAGTTATTCAGTATTGAGGGGGTGGGTTACCCCATGCACCGCGACCAGTTTGATCTATTGTGCGTCCCCCTTTGAATTTCTACTGTCTCCATACCCTACCGGTACTGGTGCTTGCTATCGTTCCCTTTCTGCCAGCGAGGTTTCGGCCTTCTACTGGCAGTGGTATCTGATAGTTAGTCCCTTTCTGTCAGTGAGGTCATCCCTCCTCTGGGAGTGGTACCTAAGCTCCCCCATCTACCGGAGGCATTGGAAAATTGCCTAAATTTAGCTCAGAGGTCTCCTAGAGACATGAGGTTCTTTTACGTGCCGTAAATCTACGACACGGGACCCACGGCTTAAAGTCCCTCCTGGAGGACTTGTTCCCTGAATTTTTCTGCCCTTAAAAATTCCACGACCTCTGCCGGGTTTGAACCCGCGTACCTTGAATCATGAGGTGGGAACGTTACCCTAGACTACGGAGGCCGCTTAAAAATACAATAAATTAGATTATATAAAACAAAAGTTATAGTATAAAACAAGAATAAAATTCTTTGACTGATGTTAATCATTGGTCTTTGTAATTTTGTTGTGTTCCCATGTACAGATTGGAATATTCTATATTTTGTGCCCAGTGAAACCTCGATCTGTCGTTCCCGGATATATTGTTTCCCCGGATCCATCGTTCAATTTCTGTGGTCCCTGAAGAAATCCTATTTAAACTATGGAAATAAAACCCGCATCAGTCATTCTTCGATTTATCATTTTCCCGCATCTGTCGGTTGGAATTCTTGGTCCCCATGAATGTTAACCCCGCATTGATCGTTTTTAAGAAAGTGCAACTCCACACAAATGTTAGTAAGCATTGGTAGTAGTAAAAGCGGTTGATGTTTTTGAAACGTGGTATAGCAAGTTGCAGTACCGTCAAAATGTGTGGTATGCGACCGTGAGTGTGTCTTACCTGCAAAACAATGAGCGTGAGCGATAAAGGGATGCTGAGAGCCTTCCAGCTAGGAAAACTTTCCTTTATGTTAGTGTGAATCGTGTGAATCAACTCAGTTCGCGATTTTGCCTGGTTGAGTATACAGTCCATCACGTGTTTGATCCTCGATGTGCTTCGTATTATTGTTAGTGTCATCAACAATTTTCTCCCACATGGCGTTTCCTGTGAAAAAAGTTCAGACTTTAGAAGAACAACTGCGCATTATAGAAGAGGTGGAAAAAACCCCATCAGAGAAGAGGACTGACGTAGCCAAGCAACTAGGCCTGCCACCATCAATCCTAACTTCGATTATCGCAAAGAAAAGGGAGATCAGAGAGCTGGCTGATAAGTGTGGTATGTCAGCCAAGAAGAGGAAGATGGACAAGGAGTCTACCTACAGCAAGCTGGAAAATGTCCTCTTTGCCTGGTACCAGCAGGCCCGAGCATCAGGCATACCTGTGGATGGGCCCATCCTGCAGGAGAAATCCCTCAGAATAGCTTGAACAATCGGGATTGAGAAATTTTCAGCTTCAAATGATTGGATCTCCCGCTTCAAGCAACGCCACGGCCTGGTATTTAAGAAATTGGCCGGGGAGAGTGCTGCTGTGGACATCAACACCACGGACCTCTGGTTCGAAAGACTTCTGGAACTGCTGGAGGGCTATGAGGCTCGGGACATATATAATGCAGATGAAGCAGGCCTCTTTTTCAACTGCCTGCCAGACCAAATGCTGGCATTGAAAGGAGAGGCCTGCCATGGAGGAAAAAGTGCGAAGGAGCGACTCACGGTGCTGCTGTGCACAAACAGCGATGGGTCAGACAAATGTGTACCCACTGTTATTGGAAAGTCTGTGAAACCACGGTGTTTCAAAACTGTAAAGAAGCTACCTGTGACTTACTATGCCAACTCGAAAGCATGGATGACATCAGAGATTTTCAGAGGCTTTCTGCATGCTCTTGATGCGTCATTCAGTGCACTAGGCAGGAAAATCCTCCTCTTTATAGATAATTGTGCAGCTCATTGTCCAGATACATCTTTGATGAATGTAAAGGTGGTTTTTTACCCTCCAAATTGCACAAGTGTCATACAGCCTCTTGATTTGGGCATGATCAAGTGCTTCAAGCAGGTGTACAGGAAGCAGCTAGTACAGAGGGTTGTATGTTTGACTGACACAGGGAAAGAGGCCCAGTGCAAGATCAACATCCTGTGTGCCATTCACCTTATTGTTTCGGCATGGCAACAAGTGACCCAGCCCACAATCCAGAACTCTTTTGTGAAGTGTGGCTATGTGAATAATCAGGAAGGGTCAGACGTGACAGAGGTGGACAGAAGTGGTGAGGATGATGTCACGCAAGCCGAAGACTGGGTTTGGCTGGGGGCAGGCACCACCGGTGTGGACTTTGACGCCTACATGTCGCTGGACCAAGAGCTCATGACATGTGGTGTGCTGTGTGTTGAAGAAATGTGTGGTGCGGTGGGAAGTGGAAGTTGCATGGAGGAAGGGCAAGGTAATGGTGGTGAAGATGATGATGAAGCCGAGTCCGAACCAGTGCCCAGTTTTATGGAAGCGCTTCATGCATTTGAGTCAGTGAGAGCGTTCATATATGCTCACAACATCACCGAAAGAGACCAAGCGAACATTGTTAATATTGAAAGATTATTATTCAGCTTGAAAAGGAAAGGTGCTACTAAACAAATGAAAATTAATGACTTTTTAAAAAAGTAGTAACTCAAATTGGACTTGACAGTGGAAATATTATCACTGGTTTACGTTTTTTTGATTTAGTTAATACATATAGGCAAATGTGACCGTTTTCATTCATTTTATATAGGCCCACATGTATCATTTTCCCGCAACCATTGTTTTTTTTTTCAGGACCCCCGACTAAAACGATGAATCGAGGTTTCACTGTATATACAAAAATGTATTGGAGGCTTGTGATGTAGATGTAGTATTATTAATGTTAATCTGAAAATGATATGAAAGTAACAGTATTAAATTTTGTTGTAGTCAGCAATTGATTTTGGTATTGAAGATATAGTGTATATTACTTATTATTTAGTCGGTGCCTCACCTTACAAAGTATTGTCCATTCTGTAGGGAATGTAAACAACGACTGATTTGGGGATGTAAGATTAAAGTCAATGCAAGGGAGGGAGTGGGGAGGTAGAGATAAGGTGTATGCAGAAGTGATGGAAGGGGGTATGTCTGTATATTATGTTTTGTATGTATCAATTATTACATCATATATAGGGTTAAACATTTCGATAAAATTATCATTCAATTGCAAATTTAGTTTGCTGATTTCGTAAATGTGAAATCTTTCATATGTATCCAAGGTTCAGCCTTTGTTGCCGATATAATCATCATCAGTAATCTGTCAGATGACAGGTCCACAGTCTCTTCCTAAACAGTTCCTCCACGTAATGCAATCTAGAG